ACGGCAGCTGACTTGCTAACACGGCGAAATCATGCACCGGGTTGCACGACAATTATTCCCCCGTATCGCGGCATTTTTCCGCGGGTTCTTGCACCGCTATCCCGTAAAGAGTCCACGAGGAAAAAGAAAGAGAGAGAGAGAGGAAAAAAATAGAAAAACCAGGACGCGCCGAGAACGACCGCCATGGTGGAGTGCAATTCGCTGCCTTGGGAAAGAGACCTGATTTTCCTTGCGGGGCGTGAATTTTGCCCGATTTTCCGATTTTTCCCCTTTAACGAATACTCGGAGGAATTTATAAACCCTATTACGGAGGACCGAGGGTCGGTCAGGAGAATTCTCAGCCCCTGGGACTCGAATCGAAGCACCTGAATCGAAGTTCGATCTCCTCCGCTCGTAATGGCATCGGCACGCGACAACGGGGTGCGCGCGCGGCCGTATGACCATAAAATAAACGTTTGGGGTAGCACACAGGCGGAGGCAGCCTGGCAGCACGTAAACACTTATATAACGGCAATTAAACTGCTTTTAAGGCCCATAAAACTGCAGTTTCAATAATCTCTGTGACAACACGATTCCGAGCTGTCCGCGGTGGCCTCCTTGGCTTGGATTCCCCCGAAGGACCTCGCCTTAGATTATGGCGGTCCCATGGCGGCCTTTTCCGCCATGGCGCGCCCGGTGGCCGGCCTCTAATAACTCGGCCAAATTGGCCGCTCTTGCAGGTACCATTTCTGCACCGCGAAGGGCGCTCGACGGAGAACCTGATCGAGAAATCCAGTTTCGTCGCCGAGCAAAACGAGAAACCAGCCCCGAGAGCCTGCCTACTGCCCTCCGTCCCGGCTTTATGCGGACCCGAAGAAACATTTAACGAGAGCTCGCCTCGTAATTCCGGCCAAGTGGGCACATACGAAGAGTTCCTAAATCTCGGTCCGCGGATTTGCATACACCGAAAACAAACACGTCGCCAAGTCACCCCCCGGTCGGGGCGTGACTGCTCAAAGTAACTCCGCTAACTGGGAACGGCCGGATCGCGCCGATTAAATCCACGGGAAACCATGTCGACAGAGAAGGGTTATCTCGCCATTGCCTGGTTAACTCGAAAAATTAAATCCAAGAGAAATTATTTACATTATACCCGTACCCTAATTTTTTTCCGAGTTAAACTAGTTCTCCGACCGTGCCATTCCGCGTGGATTTTTTTCTTCGCGTGGGTTCCTGTGGATTTTCTTTTTATTCCAGAGTGGAAGGCCGGAGTTCCTGGGACTTGCTCGCCATTTGTGTGGATTTTTTCTTCCGAAGAGGGTGGCTTTGGTGTGGAGGCTCGATCGGGTCGGAGACGTCGATTCGCGATTTCCGTGTTCCATGGTAACGGGGGTAGTGACCGTAGGGGGCGTCGAATCAGGTGGGGAAGGTGCTAGGGGTGAAGCGGGATAGCCCGAGTCTGCAGGACGCGGCAGCCATCATCGAATGCTAATGAGGGGTGGGTCGTGGGGCTCGGGGCGGACTTGCACGGCGGCCATGCGATGACTACGCCGCGCGGGGGTGGATGCCCCCGTGCAGCGGCAGATCGGCCTGATTATAAATTATGCATTATCTCGTGCTTGCCCCCGACACCCCGCGCCGCCCACTGGCCTTCGGAGCCCCGGGGGCACGCTGACCCTAACCTAAAACGAGCCACCCCCGAGCACGGGGACAGATTAAGGCCCGATTTCCATGCTAATCGCGAGAAGCGAAAGACCAGGGGGTGATCCCGTCTTTTGGCCAGAAAACGGGGAACGGTCAAATTTGCCGATCCTAACCTAGAACAGGCTACGAGGAGGGAAGAGTCAGGCCAAACATCGCGTAATCGTAGATGAAAAAAATCATACCAAACTCTGGGACGACCGACGCGACATGATCTACACCTAAAAGTAGCACCGGAGAGCCATTGCTACCGATAAGAAATAACTAAATCGGGATTTCTTCCCATTCCATGAGATTTATTTTTATTGGGGGGGCTTTGATGTATCCGATAATTTCCTCAAGAAATTCCAGGAAAATTCTGGGAATTTTTTGGATGCAGTCTCAGAGGGTTTCCAGGGTCTGGGATGGCGAATCCTTCTCTTGGAGTCCCTAGATCAGGGATCTATTCCTGGTCCTCCAGTTCGGTCCTCGGGGAGGCTAACCCTGGCGAGTCGCGGCGCGAACTCGAGTTTACGAGGGCCGGACGTTATGCGAGCGTATATTAAGTCGCATAACGCGGCTCTGCTCATCGCCTAATGGATTGTTAAGCGGCTGGCAGGGACGTCCCGCTTTGGCCGGCATCGAAGAGCACTGGCCCGTTATCTGTTTTACGGCACTTTCGTAACTCGTCGCGATGCGCCCGGTCGCACGTAAATCCTCGGGTTTTCGCGCATCGGCTAAGACAAACAGAGTAAAAATCAAGCGAGACGCCGGCCGAGAGAAAGCGCGCCAGCGTGTGCGTGTCCGTGTATACGCGTGAAAAAAAAAAAAAAAAGAATGAGAAAAAAGGAAGGGGAGAAAAATCACTTCTCTTGGGCATGGAGGCCGATCGCGAGGCGGCGAGTCCCACGCGAGATTACCAGACGTTGTCGTAAATCACGCACAAAGCGTAAGGCTATCGCGAAGTGCGAGTCGACCTAAACCTAACCGAGCACCGATACCAATACCGGTACCCTTACTCGCCGATATGCTAATTTCCGCCGAGGACGGTGTCTCCGATTTTTAATTACCCCGGGAACCGCGCCATGTTGGACCCGCTCTGATCCGACTGAAGACAGGACGAAGAGTTACGTCCTCCAGAAAAGGCAGGAGGAATTTTTTTTTTTCCAGGCGTCAAAGTGGAATCCCTTGAAAAAGAGTATTCGAAAGCTTTCTCAGGGGTATTCATGGGTATTCGGGGGTTTTTACTCTGAGATTTTCCGAGAAGACGTCGAAAGTCTGGTGAAAGTCCTAGGGGTGGTTTTCTTCTCACCCTTCTTTCCAGCGGACCAATAAGGTCCTCTCCATGGAGATATCCAGCTCCGAATTGTTTGCTACCCCAATCTCGACTCGTTAGGTCGTTAGATAAAAATTAACCGTCCCCGGAATTTATCGGGGTGTACTCCAAGGGGCAGTACATTTCCGTGGGAGACGAGGGTGTACCCCGAGGGGGCCGACTACCACCCCCCGGCGCGAAGAAGCGCCGGCTCGAGTTTCGCGTTCCTCGACTGTCGGGACTGGTTTACAAGGATCGAGTGTGGTCCATAAAGGCATAAAAGACGGGACGTAATGATTTTATGATCCCAGGGCAAAGTCTCGCCGGTCCCGTCCCGGTCGTCGTCGACATCGTTTGCCTCCGACCCTCCCGCCTGTTTGCCTATCGGAGGAAGTCGGCTTCGGGGGCGGCCATTTATAACCACGCTGGCCCGAGCTCGGAATCGGAACTGGAAGCCATTTCTAATTACATTCTTGCCCTCCCTTGCCCCTCGACATTTTCCCCTCCCCCTTTATTACTTCTTACTACTTCCTCCGAGGTGACTCCGCGCCACCGCATAACCGTTTTACAACTCGTAAAAGTCCGCAGACATCGACGAATCATCCTGGATAATCGACCAAGTCGGGAAAATCGAACAGCCCCACCCTATGATATTTTTTTTAATATTTAAAGCGACTCAAGAAAATTCAGTGACCTCGCACCCCCTTAAGAAGAGCCACGACCGCCACCTTAACGTAGTAACTACCTTAACCGTCCCGAATCCTCCGAGCGCACTTTTTCCCCGGTAAAGAGACATCTTGAACCGAGTTATTTAAGTCGCTCGCGTTAACATTATGCATATCCGGATGGCGTTAAAGTTGCATGCCTCTCGTCATGCTCGGTGCATCGGCGCGCGACCGCGGACCGCGTAATCGCGCGGCACGACTCGATAAATTAAGGACAAATACCCGGGCGATGAATTAAACCGGCGATTCCGCGCGGACAAACGGCCGTTTAGATACGATCGCCGGATAATTCTTAATTATGCTAAATCATGTTTAGTGCCCCATTGTCTGCGCGTATCTCCGGGAGGGATGTAGGGTTTTATCGGGAGTACCGATGACGGCAGCTGAGACGCGTCGCGGGGAAAGGGGTACCCGAGGAAGGTGTAAAAATGAGAAAATGAGGAAAAATTATTTAAAGAAAAATTCCAGGAAAATATCTAACGCCTCGAGAACCGCATTCCACGATCCCCGAAGATCAGAGGGAACTTCTAGGGGAGATAATGGCGACCGAGTAACACCACTTTCCCCGTTTCTCGGGCCGGTTTTCTGGGAGAATATCTGCTGCCATGATGCTAAGCATACCCCGACCTTGCCCAATCGCTCTTAAAAGAGAAATCCCAGATCGCTTCATTTTTACCGCCGCGTTGTGTACTACTCGGAAGCCCGCTGGTGTATATTATTTCGGAGTTTCGGTTTTTTCGGCTTAGGATGATTTTTTAATAACGTTCAAACGAAGCTATCGGTGAGCCGGGGTTCCGATTTAAGGATCTGGGCTCTGGTGGAGAGTTGACCTGACCTTCCTCAAGGTTTTTAAAAAATAAATCCCACTCCGGTCCGTTCTACGGAATTTATGGACATTAGACAGAGCCGGGCTGGGAATGTCTACATAATTACTGACGAAATGATCCAATTTTCCGGCCATTATGGAAACGGACTTTTTTAACCCGCGAGTTTACGAGAGGAAACGTCAGGCAAGTCTCCCTCCGCCATTTCGCTGCGTCAGCGAGTTGCATCGGATGCACCGGGAATGCGAAGCCCCATCGATTCGCCATCGGATGATTTTTTATTCAGAGCACGAGGTGCCTCCCTCTCTCGAACGTCTCCGCGATAATTAAACGACAATTAATCCCGTCGATTTGAGATGATTCCCTAATTCTAGCATCGACCATCGATCGCGGGCGTGGCGGGCAAGTAACGTCATTTCGCGTGCGTATTCTAGGGGTATCAGGGGAAATGGTAGTCATGAAGAATCAATTACTCACCGCATACTACCCTTTCGAAGGGGCTGATCCAATCTGAAAAAGAAAATCCTGGATTAGTCACAGAATTCCTGTTCAATGCACTCTGCACCAGCTCTCGGCGTCGACTGCGAAAACATGGCCCGGCCTTAATCCCGGCCTTAAATCCGCCTGCAGGTACGCGAATACCCGCGGAAAGTGGAAAAAAAAATAAGATAAAGAGAACAATGTCAAAGCATCGAGATTTATGGAATTAAAAAGGAATCGTTGAATTTCGTCGCGTCGCCGGGTTTTTAGCAGCGCCCCTTAAGTGGACCCAGGTATTTTTAAACGCGCACCGTTTTGCAGGGCGGGTGTCGCCGCTGCAAGGTGCAACAATCTCAGGGATAATTTTAGTCCCGAAGGGAATGTACGTGCATGACCGCGAGTCCGATGCCGTCGGAAATTGTGTATATGTAAGCGATACACCGGGGCCAGAGGAGAGCCGAAAGTGACATAAACGCGCCGACGGATGTGGACGTAATCCGAACTGTCTCGGCTGAATTTAACTGTGCCGGATTACGAGGATATATCCGCAGCGTCATGGCTGCTGATCGTGGCGAGATGTTCCCCACGTCCCGAGCACCGGCCAAAAATCTAGGTTGGCAACGTCTGAATCAGAAGATGTCCACCCGCCGACCAGCTGACGTCTTCGGATGCGACCAGAAGTAAGAAAATTCGAGGCGGGGTGGAGTGGAAAAAATATCCAATATGGCGGCTGGAGAAGTCATTTCAAGAGTAAAGAAGCAGAAGCTACCTCAAAATTATCAACGTAACCTTGTCCCCCTCTTTCACGCTCTCCCGCCAATTGCAGGGTGATTAACGACCGCTCGCACCCGATAAAGCCTCCACCCTGCCAAATAACGACGATACTGGTATCGTCTCGATTCAACAATCGCAAGTATTATTCCAGCCCGAATAAGAAGTTCGATGAAGGCCCAGGAAAGTTCCCACGTGGCTGGTGGGAGGAAAAATCAGCTCGAATCGAGGAGACCTCTATGAGGAAATAATCGGCACCGATTAGCGATAATTATTTCCCCGAGTAACGAGTCGTCAGCCATTTTCACCTTTTGTCCCCCGACAGCTGTGATGATAATTCGCCCCGAAACGCGGCCAAAATTACGAGGCGACGTTAATTCGGCAGTTCCTGATAATTAGCGACTATCGGTGAAAGAAATATCGCAGGGGAAAAGAGTTTCCAGAATACGTGTCCGGCTAAACGAGACCGACGAAACCGTGGAAATCCGGCGTGAACGCGAAGAAGAGATTCGGTGAAGAATAAATAAAAGGCGGCGTATTTCGCACTCGGTCGCGGTGGTAAAATCAAAGAGCGCAATTGACCTCTCGTTGCGGCTAGATCGGTATTGAATTTCAACCGAGCGCAAACGAGGAGTCGCGATAAAGCGGAGCGGCATTATCGCGCGGGATGCGCGGATGTAAAAATACTCTCTTATCGTCCCTCCTCCAGCTCGGAAGCTGGGCCTTGCAGTTGGGTCCAGCCGAGGGACATTTCGCGTCGGGAGGTTCCAGGACACGTAGGGCGAATAGGTGTTTAAATATTAAGCCACAAGTGCGCCGAATCCTTTCTCTCTTCGGGGGCGAAATATCGGGGGAATCGAGGAAATCCGAGAGGAATCGCAGGGGCCTCCAATTGCAGCGAGCAAAGCCCCTGATGGGAGTAATCGGCATGACCAACACCAAGCTCGATGATCGGCTGGAAAGTCGTGACCTGCGGACTGGAAGACACGGGGATTAATCTCTGGGGAGGGTTAATCGACGTTTTTAAATTAAACGCGAAAGCAATCGCGAAGGGTTCTTCGGTGAAGTCCTGGCCATCGAGGGCGCAAGATCGCTCCCCGGAATCTCGCCGATTTCCGAACGCGTCGACCAAAATGGCCGGGTTACGAGGCATCGTAAGCGATAAAACCAATCGTTCCCCGTCCACCGTCGACGTTTGTAACGACGTCCATATGCCGAATGAAGTGGCAGCTTCGACGGTTATGCCGTCGCGAGTCGGACAAGAAGCGTTCCAGCTACTTGGGACGATTTAGTGGTCCGAATGGATTTCACCCACCGAGTAATTTGAAAATGAATTGGTCCTCCACCATCACATTCCTAAATCAGGGATTAACGACTCGTAAAAGAATTTGGCGAGCCTTAAAAAGTAGGTAGCGACGAAACCGAAGAAAGGAAGTCGATAGGTCAAGAACTACCCCCAACACGGGCGCCCATGACGAGATTGGCTATCAATGGCTGTTGATACGCAACGGGGCTATGTTCGATGACGCTTCCTAGTTAATTAATAACACACTCGCTTCCTCATAGCCAAGTATGCCTCTTCCGATGACGAGAGCGTATCAAGTGCCGACTATCAAAGCGATTTACGATCGGTGTTGGGACAACGAGGAGACTTCTGCGACCTGACGCCATAACAAGCAGCGCCTCGACGACTTGACTTCCCGTGCGTTTATACCGCGCGTTTAAACAACCGTCCTAGACATACGGGACCGAAATTGCGCGTCGAGGAACCTGCCAAGAGCAAAGTGTACCGAATATTAATATTTACAGGGGACGACGAACGAGACTCTGCGAGTCATCCTGGAGAAGATGGAAATTCCATATGTTTAGAATTCCCGAATTTCTGCCACGTGATGGGAGATAGTTGCCCATCCCGTCAAGGTGGAACCTAGGGTCGGAGATTTCGGAGCAGCGATGGAAGAGTAAATCAAGAGTCCAGCCAAGAGGTGGAGGGTACCGAAAATCTGTAATCTCCGCGGGGGTTTCCAGAGGGATTCGGCGGGCACTCACCGGTAATGGCCATCCAGGGGTACCGGGGGATCTCCGGGATGCCGGGCTGTCCGGCCGAGGGCTGCTGGCAGGAGGCGAGGGGGTCGACGACGCCGGAGGCGGCGGCGGCCTGGTGGTAGAACTGGGCGGCGGCGGCCATGGAGGCGGAGGCGGCGGAGACGGCCGAGGAGGCCGAGGCCGAGGAGACGAGGCCGCCGGGCGCGGCGCCGTTCTGGTGGTGGTGGCCGAGGGTGTAGTTGACCATGGGGTCGCCGGCGGAGGGCGCGACGTTGCCGGCGGCGGCGAGGCTGGCGGTGTAGCGGCAGGACTTGTCGCCGGCGGCGGTGGCGGCGTCGACGGCGGCGGCGGCGGCGAGGGCGGCGCTGGAGGCGGCGGCGGAGGAGCCGAAGCCGGGGACCATGGAGGGCGAGGCGCCGAAGGCGGCGGCGGCGACGGCCTGCTGCTGCTGCTGGTGGTGGTGGTGGGCCGCGGCGGCCGAGACGTAGGGGTACATGGCGGCGGCGGCGGCGGCGGAGGCCGCCGAGGCGTTCCTGGCGGCCGGCGAGGTGGAGGCCGAGCTGCCGGAGTGCTGGGGGCTGGAGCCCGTGGGGCTGGGGGAGCTGTGGTGCTGCTGCTGCTGGGCGTAGTTGGCGGCCGCGGCCGCCGCGACGGCCGCCGCCGAGAGGCTCGACTCGAGGCTCGAGGCCGAGGCGGGGCTGGCGGACGCCGAGCACCCCTGGACCGCCGAGCCGGGTGGGTTCGAGGAGAAGAGCTGCTGGTGGTGGAACTGCTGGTGGTACTTGGGTAGCATGCTATCGATGATGAATTTCGAACTCATCGCTGCCCGGGGGCCTGGGCGGGCCCGCGAGTCAACGGCGCCCGCGGCCGCGGCCGCGCCGTCGCGTCGCCGCGCCGTCGGCCCTCCGCATCCTCCTCCACCGGCACCCGGGTCCGTCGGCTGGGCGCTCGCAGGCCTCGGGGCGCGTCCTGGCTCGCGGCTGCCGACTGCGCTGCTGGTCACTCACTCGGGCGCGCGCCCGGCTCACTCGCGGTCACATCCCGCGACGACGCGGCCGAGGACGAGGGGCTCAGCCCGCTGCGGCGACCGGACCTCGGACGGCGCGACGCCCGCGGCGGCGGCAGCGACGACGACGGGGACGGCGCTCGCGGTCGCGCTCCACGCACCCGGGCCCGTCGGTCGCGTTTCGAGCGGCCGGCTGTCAGGTGTTACGAAGCCGTTTCTTGCGTACTTCTCGGATAGTCGACGAATCCTTTATGGGCCATGCATGAAGGTACTCTATAGCCCCCTATCCCGAGCGGCGCGTACTACACCACGGCCGGCTAAATGTAACCCCTTACAATAATGGCGCCGCTTGTCTCTCGTCCCCCCCTCTACGGGCGCGACACAGCTGGTAAACAGAGCCGGCCAATCGCCGCCCGGCCTTACCCACCGCGGGCCAATCCCGTGCCGGCTAGGCGCGCCAAGATGAATGGGTCTCCGGCTGCCTCTCTCCGACCCGCGCCAAGGCGCCTCGCGCGGCCTCTCTCGACGCTGCCTGCGCTGCTTCGGCCCGCCGCCGTCGCCGCCGCCGCCGCCGCCCGACTCCGCCACGGGGGCCGCCACCTCCGCCGCCGCCGCCGCCGCGCGCCGAGCGCGCCGAGCGCGCGCCCTCCGGGAGACACGTTGCGGCTCTTACGTGGATACGACCTCCCGACCGACGCTTGCGCCCTCTCTCTCCCTCCGGACGGGCTACAGGGGCATGCCCGTAGCCCTCTCCGCGTGTTCTCGACGAGGCCGATGATTCCCTCGGAAACCATCCGACTTCGACTTCGAGGTATCGAACCGTGGACCGATAGGCGCACCGGAGAGATTCCGTCCCTCGTTGCTCACTAAACCGGCTAAAAATACGATTTTCACGCTTTTTTTCGTCACGCGGGAATTAATCCAAGTAATATGTAAAAATGTCGAGGGGTCGAGGAACCGAGTTCGATATCTCGAATCGCGGTCGACGCCGATAAGCGCATGCGAGGGACGCCGCGGTAAAGACACCTCTTCGACGAGGAATGGGGGAATCGCGTTATCTAAGGGACTCTATGTTTTACAATTAGGAATTCTCTAGGAATTTCACCTCGGGAATTAGAATTCACTCGTTTGAAAGGTGGCGGGAGCTCTCCGAGGTTATGGTCTTAATATCTCGGCAGAGTCCTTCCTTATCGACGAATCGGGACCAAAGGAGCCGGCGAGGAGCTCTGAAATGTGCGCCGAGCCTCGGGAGATCGCGGAATGGAGTTCGATACATCGAAAGTATCGAGACGCTCGCTCGACGGCGCTTTACGACGCGACGTCGACCCTCTTTCCGCACTTTGTAGGTACCTTGATTCCGCGAGTTAAATTTTACCTCGAGCAATCCCGCAGTCTCGCGGAAATTTACATTTCGCTCCGTCGACCCTTGAATTTCGAATTTTCCTCCTAAACCAACGACCATCTAAGATATCGTATAATAATCCTTAGAATTCGTTAAAAATCAGTCTCGATGGGGTGAAATTCTACCGGGTTAATTTTTTTTATCGAAACTTTAAATAGACAGGAAAGGATTACTCTGGGCTCCGTGGATGACCATGGTCGGTAATCGTAGGTTGGGCTAGGTTAGGATTTTTTTTTCGGCCCTCCTGTCTCTCCTTAGCGACAGCTTTCCTTCCCACGCCATTACCTTGGGTATTAGACTACCCGTGTAACTATTCGGGGAAAGTGTAGAGTATAAACTCACGTCGGGTTTCTATGAAGGCTTCCTCGTTCGATCCGATCGGTCCTCGATCGAGAAGTCGAAGATCGGCCGAATCGACCGGCGACGGCCGAATCGACCGACAGCTGAAAACGGATGCTAACCCGGCGTGGCGGGGTTTTACGGCCGTAATTTACGATTTGGTTACCGATCTCGAAAGGCACGTAACGATCCCACCTGGAGAAAATCTCCGGATTCTCTTTGGGAATTCGAGACGGTCAACCGAATTTAGAAGAGGTCCGGCAACGCGCCCCACGCTGGGAAACGAATTTAATCCAGTCGACTGGGATGGCCCGACATAATATTTTCGATTGAAAAAGTCTGTTTTTCACGTACCTTTTAGCGCGGCCGGCCCTGACCAATGGCCGCCATTCGGAGGAATCGCCGACTCGATCTGCATGATAAATTATGCGACGCATAACTGGCAGAGGATTTCGGACGCTTATCGTCCTGGAACTTCAAATTCGGACGTAATAAATGGACTCCGTTATTTACCGATATTTTATGTCATCGACTCACCCTGGAAAAATGGTCGTGATCGAGCCGATTAATTTCTCGATTTATCCCCTCTGATTTCATACCCAGGAGGGACTGGGAAATCTTGAATCCCTCGTTTCACGTCATCGTTGAGAAGTACAGATATCGCGTTATCTACGAAATTCTCCCTCTAGCAGTTTTCATGCATCCACGATAATAAACGAATTTAATTCAGTCTCTCCGGCTAGCCTGATAATATTTTCGATTGACAATATTTATCTTCACGTGCCTTTAATGCATCCCTGACCACTCGCCATGTGTCGAGGAATCACCGAATCAATTTTCATGTCGAATTGTGCAACTCATAACTGACAGAATTTTGTACGCTTATCGTCCTGGAACTTCAAATTAGGACGTAATAAATCGACTCAGTTATTTATCGATATTTTGTATTATTGACTCACGGTGGAAAAATGCCGATAATCGAGCCGATCGACTTTCCTTTGATTTTATTCCACGAAGTGACTGGGAAATCTTGAAAGCCGCGTTTCACATCATCGGTGAGAAATCCAGAAATCGCGTTATCTACGAAATTCCTCCTCGAGCGGTTTCCATGCTTTCATGTGGACCCCTCGCAATAATTTCCAGGAGAAACTCGGCAGCCTGGCGATCGCAGACGCACCGTGCACGCATTCTGAATGAGAACGCAATTACAGGGTACTAAATAATTGCCCTTGCCAACAATTCTATCTTCGGCGCGGTTTTCGCATGAGTAATCCCCCGCGAGTGCCCCGCACGGTCGGGGCACCCGGGATTTCGAAATATCTCAGGTAACTCCCGATCGAGAATCTCCTCCGGGGTTCCATTAAATCTAATTAGAAAATCGAACAGCACTTACCTAGTTGCGAAATTCCTCCGATTGGCATCGGCGGTGGCGTTTTATCGACATTCACCGTCGCCCGATTAAGTCGGACGATTACGGTAATAATCGGACGTACTCACCGCTTCAACGGCCGGTGGAGTCTGAAACAAAAAATAAACATTTACAGGGACCAGTCGCATAATGTCCGACAGTAGAAGCCGCCGCGTTTCCCTTTCGACCGGCGATGAAAAAAATTAGATGCACATTATATACTGAATTTTTTAATAATTTCTACAATTTCCCTTTAAAAGTTCTCCTTAATGTCGAGGAAAATTAAGAGCTCAACAAAAAATACAAGCTAAACAAAGAATAAACATTTACAGGGACCAGTCGCATAATGTCCGACAGTAGAAGCCGCCGCATTTCCGTTTCGACCGGCGATGAAAAAAATTAGATGCACATTACGTTACATATAAGTATACTGAATTTTTTAATAATTTCTACAATTTCCCTTTAAAAGTTCTCCTTAATGTCGAGGAAAATGAAGAGCTCATCACGTGGGTTACTTTATTTTTTCTTTATACTCATTATTTCTCGTCCCCCCTTGGAGCGATCGGTACCGTTCAATCCGCCGAATTAGCGGCAATTACCGAGGTACTCGTACGCGAGAAGTCATACGCTCGGTCGGCCACGGCGAGTGTCCTCTCCAGAGACGATTCGGTCGGTCGGGCGTAACAAAGTCAAGGGACCGCGGCGCGGAAAGTATGGACGTAATTGTCGAGGGGGGCATTTACGAGCGATTAAAGTAACGAGCGAGATCGAGAGCGTGGGCCGGGTTCGCAGGTACTCCATAATTCCTCGTTTCGGGTAAAGAGTCTCGATTTCACACCCCACAGAGTGGGGCAGGCACCTGCGGCCCTCCAGAGGCGGGGGCCCCCCGAAAGGCGGGGCAACATGGCCCCTGGTGAACGTGGCCCTTTAAAGGGCCCCAGGGGCCCGTCTTGCGTGCGACTCGAGGAAACTCGAAGAAACCCGACGAAGGCCGCCTTTGAAGGGCCGACCTCGCCCTCTCTCTCTTTCTGACGTGATTCCAGAGAGGCCCCTAAATTCTTCGCCGCGTCCGCCAGTGACATACGCCCTAACGCGTACGGGGCCCCTCCTAAATTAGAGACAAATACCTGCGCGAAATCTTACTTGATCTTGGAAGACATATCGGGGGGCTCGGGCCCCGAAGAAGCGGACGACCTGGCGGAATGTCAGGGGGCAGAGACGGGAGGATGCATTTATTAAATGCACCGGCCCTAGAGGAATAACAAGAGTCAGGGAAAAATATCTGCGTTATTTCTCGGATTTTTCTCTTCCCAGGACGTATTGGAGAGTCCTCATGCAAAACGTGACTCAGACTCGCGAGATCGCCGCTCCTCCTGCGAGAGATTCTCGGATAAAACCTCGAAACGTACGAAATGACGAGAATTACTCTCGCGCTGACTTCCGCCGGCAGGGGACGAATTTATAGGGGAAATTAAACTTTCAGACGGCGAGTCGGATTCGCAGGGTGAATTACTCAAAAGATTAGACAGTGGATCTCTTTGTCGGCGGAAATTCCCTTGCACGTGTCTTACTCCTAGGCACGGGAAACGCTGATTTTCATGGAAAAAGTCCCTTACTAATAATAAACGTTAGGTCGATTCTTGAGAAAAATTCTGGATCTCGGGATTTCCTATTTTTTTTTTTTTTCTTTGTTTTTAGTATTCAGGCTAATGCGCGGACGTTTCGCCAATAAAGGAAGATTTTCCAGGCTAGACTAAATCCGGCATTAACTATTTAATTAAGAAGGAGGAAGAGAGTCCGGGAAATGATTTTACAGATTTTACGGGGCGATCGCCGGGCAAACGTAACGATACTTCGCGGGTATCGTAAAAGCACTTATCTCGGTAATAGATACCTACTTATTTATTATTACGATCGTTATTATTCCTGAGAACGTGGACCCCGCTAATTGCAACTCGCGAATCCGATCGGCCGTAACCAGAAAGAGAGAGAGAAGATTTGCCGCGTCGTTGACGCAATTACCGCGTTCGCTCGCTCCTCTGAGATATTGGAATTGCCCTAAGAGGCGAGTCGTCGTGTAACGACGACTCGCGTCACCGCTATTTAATCCGTAGCATCGCACAGGGCCGCGCTATCGTTACCCCGAAGCCGAAGTTACGATAATTACTGGTGCCCATAGCCAGCGTTACTCCGAATTGCCGGCCGCATGGGAACCTACAGGTACTAGAGATAGCGCAGAGCTACGGCCGCACGAAGCGAAACTCTCGCCCTGTCAAAAATAGTATATAAATTTATACCGAACTTGAGGCGGTACGTCGAGTTAATCCTCGGTTCCGAGGCCGGTGATAATGCCGATAGGCACTAGGTATACACCAAGGCGAATTGCCGAAGAATTTTGCCCCTCGAAATCGCATTGTCCATCGAATTGATAATACTCACCGTGCTTTCACTTAATCTGTCCGGTTTCGACTAAAGTGCCCTATCCACGTGCACATAATACGTATAACATACGTATGTAATTTATGCCTGAGGAGATGTACACCGTAAAAATTGTGGGGTCAATTCAGCGAGGTGGACTCGTGATAGTGTTATCAGGGTCGTGTCGATCCCCATGCGTAGGTCCACATCGTTGATTTTGGAAACGAATTCTTTTCCGTAGGGTTTTCAGGGGGGGCTGGGACATGGTGTGCATATGCATATTTTCTATATGCACAGGGTGCACATGGAAAATATGCACCCAGGGTCTGGAGAAATTTCCTGGAGTGGATTTTCCTCTTCGGCCGGCGGCGATCTCGCTCGAGCTGGGCTCTCGTGATCTATGGATCATCGAGCTGGCCATTGTGAATTCTCCGCGCATCCATCTCGACGAGCACCTACCGCTCGCGGACATAACTCCGCGGTTACGACGAATCGTTTACAAGCGAGTAACGCGCGACGAGGAGGACCCGTGAGACTTTACTTTCGAAGGCGCGTACCCCTCTTAACGCCATCCTTATCCGGGAAGTGGTAGCGAGTGTCAGCCCGCGGCCTCCGCACGCGGAATAAATCCCGGCCGGCCTGACGAACGGACGTGGTCTGAAGGGAGCGAATCTTAAATTTCCGGATTTTTCAGAAACTCGGGCGAGACATTGCCGAGGCGTTCCAGGATGACGCGGGAAATCCTGCTGAAGGAGAATAACGTGGTCCGTCAGAGGTGCGCTTCGCGGCCCACGTGGGGAGAAAGTCTAGGGACCGTAGGTCGACCATGGAGGATCCATGGGAAGTCTCAGAAAAATTGCCTATCTGCTAGGAGACTTTTACTGCCCATAAAGGGTGATATCGAAGGTGCATAGTCAACTGCGATCGGAGGGACACCCTTTTTCCCTGAACCCTGACGAGGTGTCATGGGGTGGAACCTGGCAGCCAGTCTGGGTGACCTTAAATCCGGATAAATCATTTTTAATATCATAAATTTCACGAGTTGGTGGGTGGTAAATCGGATCTTTTTTCGAAATCCAGGTGTGTGAGGAGATTCCCCTATTCCCGGGTAACCCTTACCCCCTACAATTTCCCATTCATGAGAAACATTGCACTACCCAATATCACCAGGATCCCCGTTCCCGGCTCCGTACGTTCCCCGAAATTCCTCCCAAAATTGCCGGAACTTCCATAGTGGCGAGATTTCCATTTGGAAAAGCCCTTCGTCCACTTTGTGCCGAAAGTTCCTCCGGGAACTTTGGAGCCGCGGAGCGCGAGGGAGAGGGAAGGACGACCCAAAGTGGAGGAACGACACCTATGGCGCCATCTTCTGGGGCATATCGGAAGACTCGATCGTCCTTTCGAAAGTCCCTGGCCGGTCCAGCGATCGGCGAACCCAAAACTTCCTATGTCCAGCTGAGTCGGTCACTTTCGGTCCGACATGGCCAACATGGTCGAAAAAGAAGAGTCCAGATCGACCCTCGCCATGATTCTCGACCACCCCAGGGAGACACGCGTATTTATTCCCGATTAATTTTTATCGCTTACATATTTTCCAAACCATTTTTAAGAAAGAAAAAAAAATACCAATATATCTCCAGCATCTCGATGCACTTCCAAGATGCCATCTCCTGAATCGACCCCCCCTGGGAATGCTGGGGTGCGGTTTTTTTAGCCGGATCATTTTCAGACCGCGGATTTTCCGCCCGATACAGGACGCACCCGGGAGGAGTTCGTATTTTTCCTCGCATCCTCGAATCGCCCTGTCGAGGGCCACGATAAGGCCACCCTGGAGTACCTAGCGGTTTTACGACTGCGTTTACACGCGTGCGCCGCTTGCACGGCGCAATTCCCCGGTAATCCCCCCGTGGGCCACGATAAAACAAAATCTCGATCGGCGGGACCGGATGAGCTTCGGCTCCGCTGCCGGAGTCTGTTTCCGCCGAAATGTCGTTCTTCGGTCCATCGATCGTCAGGGGACAAAAGCGCGGCGAGGCGAAGATGGGTACTCGATGATACCCACCTCTGAATTATTTATAATAAAAACGATTCGATGCCAAATCCCGGAACAATAAATATCCCTCAACTCGGATCACTTCCTTCTTTCGACGTTCCAATCCCCCGGTACTCTAGCCACTGCCGTGGATTTCAGTAATACCTTTTAATTTTATCCTCGCCATGCCGACCAAGCGTAACCCGAGCGCCGCGCAATGCACCGAGTATTTAGACGAGCCATTTGATATCGAGGAAAAATCTCGCCAACGAGAAACCACGAGCTTCCGTTCAGCTCTCGAGGAGTAAACCCAGCGTAAGATTTTTCCTCTAATGGAAGCCAACCATAAGAGAGGAGAAGTCGAATCGTGCATCGGCATAATTTCTCGATAATTTGCAGTCCGGCACGTTACTAAATATTCTCTAGAAGCAAGGAACCATTGGTAACGGTAATTAGCGCCGAGTAAAGGATGTAAACGAGATGTTCAATTTCATCGGGAGATCGAGTCCTTCCTGGAAAGTTCCTTAGCAGGGGCTACATCCGGGCAAGGATGGCGCGTCTTACAAATCTTACAAATCATTTACCGGGAAGCGCGTCAGCCGGGCAACAACGAGTCGTTAGAATCGGCGGAGCGGACTCCTAAGAAACCGCGGCTGGACG